TTGTCCAGGGATTACAACAGACCACATCCTTGTCTCCAGACCTGCTGTAGCCCATTGTTTGCCAGCCTGTAATTTGTTCACTTGTTTGTCTTTGGCCCGTTCTCACCTCCTCCAGTGCAAACCTTCTAAGTATTTTTCTGACATACCAAGATCTTTGAATCCTAGCCCGGTGCTCCTAAATAGTTTGTTTCTAGTTTTTGGCTGTGTGCAGAGTTGTAAGTGTTCTCTGTCTTCCCAGAGATCCTGGAAATACTTAACTATATATTCTTACTCTCATCACCCACCCATCCTGCTTCCAGACCTTGGTTAGCAAAGGTCAGAACATGTGTCCCTCAGACACCTTGTAGGTGTTTTGAAGGTACCTCATAGGTGCTGAATCCATCTGAGAGGGAAGCCTCCCTCTAGCAATCCTGCAGGACCAGGCAGAATTGATATTGGCTTAGAACTGATGAAACTCTTTGCTGACTGACAGATGCCATGCAGAATTTGGGTGCACAACTTGTTATTCAGATATGGTAATTTCACATGGCTCAGTTGTAGGTACCTAGTCTATGCCATATGGGGCAACATCAAATATTTTACTAGATTAGGCTTCATCCATTAGGCAAGTTATCCTGTTGGAAGAAACAGAGCTGGCTCTAGGTGCTGTGGTCTTGACTTGTTGGTGTTTATTAAAACTGAAGGATAATATAATAAATTGATCTCATAGCTCTCCAGTTCCTTGAGTCATTTAAGCCACCTCTTCTCCCAGAACTATCCTCTTCCTTCTTCAGGCTCTGAACTGTAAGGTATTGCCTTCAATTGCTTGTAGAAGACAAGGAAATTCAGACACTGAAGTGTCAGCAAGAAAATTCTGAGGGCTGGAGCCTGTAGGCTTTTTCCCTAATAGAAATGGAGAATTTTCCCAAAAGAGTTTCCATGCGCTGGGACTACATTTATGCTATCAGTTTGCAGTCCAGTATCTATCATCAAACAGAGTTGTCAGTATGGTTTTCTTTCTTTAGTGTTGGGCCTGTAACAAACACTAGTGCATAAATTGTAAATGAACAGAGAGCAGTTTTAGTGCCGTTCCTGGGGCCGCTAAATGAAATCACTTTTCCTATTAGCAGAAACCTAATCAGCAAACACGTCTATAAACAGGTTTGGTTGCTAAGGTTGAAATGGGATTACTTTGCCCATCCAGGTGTATCGTAAAGTCTGGAGAAAGCTTGTCTGTTATTTCTTACAGCTGCAGCAGTGTTGCTGCTCGTGTGGTGGAAGAGCTGATCTGTGCGCAGCTATGCAGAAGCGAGAACGTGAGCCATGCTGACTGCTTCCAGCTTGCTCTGGGTTGCTGTTAAGGCCCTGTGTCCGTGTGCTATACAGATAGTCTGGACACATGCAAGAAGCCCTGCGAGGAGAGTGTAAACTTACTTTGCAGTGTGTGCTGAGCAGGTGTGGCACTTAGAAAACCCTGTGCCCTCCGTGCTACGTGGTTGATCTATGTACGTGCGCTAACCACTCACCTAGGATTGCAGATATCCAGGGACTGCAGAAAGCAAGCATGCTTATCTGTGTTTCTCCATTATGGCAGTTGTAATTGCCAAAGCTTGGAAAGGTATTTCCACAAGCATTTGCATTTGCAAGCCTGCTATTTAAGAGGCTCTAGTATTTGTCCCACCTTGGGAAGAGGAAGGAGCCATTCCTGAGCATTGTCTGAGGTATTTAGAGCTCCATAATGATAAGGATGTGGCCATAAAGTACTGGTTTCTCCTGTTGTGTGTGTGTAAGTTGGTATTTACTGCCTTTTATCTTATGGATTCAGTGGAAATAAATTGCACAGTATTTTAAAATGACACAACTTCATGGTTTCACTGAACCATATTATGATGCAAATGAACTTGAGGGCAACTGGATTTCACAGAATCCAGAATCACAGAATGGTTGAGGTTGGAAAGGGATGTCTAGAAATCATCCAGTCCAACCTTCCTGCTCCAGCAGGGACACCGAGAGCACAGGCACAGGGTGGCACAGGGTGACATCCCAGTGAGTTTAGAAGATCTCCAGAGAAGGAGACTCCACAACCTCTCTGGGCAGCCTGTTCCAGGGCTCTGTCACGCTCACAGGAAAGAAGTTCTTCCTCACATGGAGATGGAACTGCCAGTGTTTCAACTTGTACCCATTACCCCTTCATGCATCAGAACATGAAATGCCCAAACATGGCTTACTGGGTATGTAGGCTGAGTTGGACATGGGATTCCTGCCCTGTCCTCCTTTTCCCCTTCAGTGCAGAGTGTTTTACACTGAAGCAGTCAAAAGTCAGGAGATGGATGGTCAAATCCAAAGATACCATATTGGCAGTAACTAGAAGCATTCTGAACCATAAGCTGTAGCACACGTCAGGACACTGTACAGATACAGATTTGACTGGTGTCCAGCATGCCAGGGAATAGTGCATTTACGTGAGGAGGCAAATAAAAGGTGGTGTCTTCTTGGATGCCTACCTAGGCCTAGATCTTCAACAGAGAATATGCTGCCACTCGCCTCCTTGAAAGGCGATGTGGTAAGGTAAAGTTTCAGCCAAACCTGAGCATTCTGGAGGTGTGGGATTAATGTTCAGTAAAGGTCCATGGAGTAAGTTCTGCAGTTTATTTTCCCTCTTATGGTTCATGTGTTTGTTTGTTTGTTTTTGCCTCCTTGAGAGACAATGTTTTCTGAATGCACTTTTCAAATGGCATTCTTAGTTTTCCAGGCTAGATGCTTGTGTGGTGCAGAGTTTCTGAAACGCTGCTCTGTCCCATGGATCGAACTGCTGATTCAGCCTTAGAAGAGATGATCTAATAAGTGCAAGACATGAGGGCATTGCTAAAAGCAAGAAAGACTCTATTCTAACCACTCTAACTTCTAGCCCAAAGCTTTCTGCATTATCTAAACTATATTCTTAAGTTCTCTCCATTTCCACCTTTCATTTTAATTCTACTCTCACAATTGGTAACCTAAGTAATGTTTCAGCCAAACGTGAACAGTCTGAAGTTGTAGGTTTAATGTTCAGTAAAAGTCTGTAGAAAAAGTTCCACATTTTGTTCCTTCTTTTTTTTTTTTTTTTTTTTTTTTTTTTTTTTTTTTTTTTAATATTGCAATTGGCATTGCCTCTCCAGCAGCATCGCTTTTTTCCCCACTTTGGATCAAATTTATTAGCAATTTTATGCATTGTAGGAGGACGATGAAAACCTTTATGCTAAGCCCTATATGTTAGAAAAAATAATGTTTAGTACTGCAAAAACAAATCTCCTAAGGCCCTAGTTCTTATTCATTTCAAGTATGATAGTCCTGCGCATAAAAGTATAATCAGAAAGCTCACCACATCAACCTACGAAATAGGAAGTTATACTTTACCATCTAAGATTTATCGCCTATTACGTGCATTAAAAACCCTTGTGTATAACTGTCACACTATTTTTTTTCCTACCCGTGTTCTGAAACAATAGCTGCTTTCTTTCTGGTTATGGTCGCGCTCTTAGTCCTGGGATACCGCCAGGATTTGCTAGGGACCTTACACGTGGCCTGCCTTCCCTTCCCTAGGGTAAGCAGGGTTTCACCAGCGGAAATTATCTTAACCATCTTGCTCTTTTTGTTGCTGATAGTAATTACTTTGAGTTGTTCCCTGTCACTCCCCAGCAGTATCCTGAATTGTTTATCATCCTGGGGTTTGATTTAATTGCCTTGTTTCATATGATCTGAAATGAATGCACCCTTGATTGCCTCTTAGCCTGACAGACATGAAAGCATCTTCAGATTCTCTCTACCAGGGTTTTAAGTGGTTTAAGCTCTGATTGCCTACTGCATTACTGTCTCTTCTGAGGCCAAAATTTTGGGTGGAGTGGTTGTAGGAAATCCATATAGAAATGCTATCAAAAACATAATATTCTTGTTGAACTCATGACTTATATTTTGAGAGGAAAAGAAAGAGGCTTCAGTGTGTAGGAAGGAGACCTACGCAGGCCTACACAGACCTACACAGGAAGGAGACCTCCAGGATTTTCCAAGGCACTCTTCAAATAATTGAAATTACAGTTATTAGGGATGTCCTCTCTTCTCTGCCTGTTATATGGCTGGTGGCTTGTCTGACCGCACATCAGGGAATTCCTCTTTATTCTGCTGGTCATTCAGCCCCTTTAAGAACACAGAAATTAATTTCTCCTGCAGGTCCCAGGTGTCCTTGGAGGCTTTGGCATCTGAACTCTATCTCCCCTGCTATCTTCAAAATGCTGTTTGGGAAAGGTTTCTTTTTTAAGGCATGAGGAAGATGCTTCAGTGTACTACCATGCTTCCCCTTGGATCCCAAATGCTGTAGTTGGGGCAGCTGGAACAGGGAGCTCTTAGAAACCAGCATACTCTTTATCTCTCCCCAACCTCCCCCCATTACTAAAATTAAGATTGCTGTTTTTTTTTTTTTTTTAAAAAAAAAAGGAAAAAAAATAAGAGCGAGAAGATTGTTTGATTTGTTCCTTCCTTGCAAGTGGTTGTTGCTTTTGTCACCTGATTAACTGCTACAAACTACTTCTCATCACCAGTTAACCCTTTTTGGGTGCTGCCTCCAGTAGTAGCTTTTCTCTTTGTGCCTGCTTTTGCCATTGCAATAAATCTTCTTATGGTGCTTATTCAAAAGCAGTGACTGTTAGGGAGCGCTGCTATCACGTATACCCATAACTGCTGTTTTTATGAGCTGGGTAGATTTTTGAGTGTAAGAACAAATGTTTATCGGATCAATGCTGATTGCTTGGTAAAAATAATCTGCAATCTTTTGCCCTTAAAAACCTCATATTAATCCCATCTCTAATATAAATAGAGGTTAAATGGTAAATCTTAAATTTAATTTAGTCATTAGGGCACTCTGTAATCCAAGGCGTTACCTGCAAGCAATTTTGCTGCCCCCTCATGGAAACCCTTGCTTCAAGGGCCTCTAGACCTAGAAATAATCAACTCTAAAATGTCTTCTCAATTAGCCAGAAACTCAATCCAATTCTTTGCTGATTAGGAAAACCTGCAAAGCAATCTGGATAAGCCAGAAAACTCAGTGCCCCAATTAAGTATACCAGTGTGATAACAAAAATCTAATTGGGGCTTAAGTGTGTACATTGTAAAGGTTAAGGTAGTGCATCAAAGCATGGTGGCTCTATTGTACGCAAAGGTGCTGTGTTAACACTGAAAAGTAGCTTTCCGTTCCTCTTAAACAATGCTTTTTGTTTTTCTCCTTAGATCAATGTTCGAGTTGTTACTATGGATGCAGAGCTGGAGTTTGCTATCCAGCCAAATACTACAGGCAAACAGCTGTTTGACCAGGTCAGTAAAGGGTTGTTTTGGGCTCTTGTTGCTTAAGCCTAAAGTACATTTCAGGCTGTAGTGTTTGTCTTTTTTTAAGACCAGATTCCAAACCTACCTCTTCCCCTGCCTAACCAACTTCCCCCCACCCTGGACCCATAACCTTCTAATCAAAGGGCTGTGGTACTAACTACAGTCTCTACATTCCATCATCGTAAAATAAATAAGCAAAAATCCCCACAGGTATGTTATGTTCCAGTGGTACCTTTCTTCCTAACAGTACTGAGTGATAAAGTGTTACAAGGTATTTTAAAATGTCTAGACAACATAGGTATTGTGCAAAAATGCACCTCCTGCTTTGAAATTCACCTTAACTTTTGTTTATTTATAAGTCCAAAGCTGAAATGCCCTTTAAAGTGCCTTAGATTCAGGTCTTAAAATGGTTGATGAAGGTGGGTATCGCTGCATTCATTCAGAAATAGATCTGAAGGTAGCTGCTGGCCGTAGGTGTTTGCAAAGTATTAGGCAACCAGCCTAGTGATATAGCCTGAGTTTATGATATCCATACAGAAACTATAGCAACGCACCTTGTAAGAAGCTCCTATGTGGCAGGACAAAGCAGAGACCTGGCCAACTTCCCTACAGGGATTCCCAGGGAAGCTGAAGTGCAGGACGCAAACAGCCTAGTCCATCTCCTCCCTTACTGCTGCTGTTCCTGCTACTGCATTAAGAATTATGCTGGCCTGTTTGGGGATGAGCCTGCAAAAGACCAGGTGAAGACAGCTAAGTTGAACACAGAGCACTTTCTATAAAAAATTAATATACTTTGCTTATCTTCATTATACTTTTTGTGT